TGAGGGGACACCAACTTATATTGGTAATAATTGATTATGCCACTTGATACCCAGATGCTGTACCTCTACAAACCATCACATGTCCGAGAGTGGCCAAGGAATTGATAAAGTGGATTTCCAGGGTCACAATTTCCCAAGAGACAGTGATGGACCAGTTAACATACTTTATGTCCCATGTCATTAAAGGGTTGAATCAGGTGCTCAGGATTAAACATTTTCATACTTCTGTCTACAATCCCCAAATCAACGGGTTGCCGGAACATTTTAATGGGACCCTCAAGAACATGCTTCAACTTTGTGCCCAAGAGGACCCAAGAAGTTAGAACTTGTTGATTCCCTCCCCATTATTTGCAGTCAGGGAAGTGTCCCATGCCTCCTTGGGGTATGCCCCTTTTGAGTTAGTTTTTGGGCATTCTCCACAAAGTCTGCTGGACCTGGTTTGAGAGGGGTGGGAGAGGGACAAGGATAGTAGAGTGAACACCTCTCAGTACATGTCCTCCTGTGATGGAGCACCTTCACTTTCTGTCATTAAGAGCTAGGTCAGGAAAAGGGCAGGTGCCTGATTGGGATGGCCATTTAATGCCCACCTCTCTGGGCTAATGAGGCAGTTTGTGACCAGCCAGCAGGGGAGAAACATCTACCTGTTGAGCTCCTGCCCCAGGAACAACACAGAGGTAAAAGGGAGGCTATGGGGGAAGAGAAGGCCTCAGTGGTCCTGGGTACAACTGAAAACTGCACCCAGCTGGGAAAGGATAGCCTAGTGGGGCTCCTAGTGGTGTGGCAGTCCCCAAGAAATGCCAGGCCAGTTGCCTCCCCAGTGAAAGATGAGGAAGGGTGCCTAAACCCTAGCCTCCACCATCCGGTGGGTTTTTTAGTTAGGCTCAGGTGCCTGACCTAGACATGCCTGACCCACCCGTTCTATGGAGGCAGAGGGGATGGAGGATCCCAGAGAGCCCCAGCCCCAGCGAGGGCGAAGAGTGGGGTCCTGGCAAGGGGATGGAGTGGATTCCTGGTGAGGTTGCGGAGTGCAGCCCCAGAGACATAGGGGCATAGAAATGACCTGGAGATAAGCATGGAGCAAAGTCAGCCTCAGTTTGGCAAATTGCCCGGCAGCCACTCAGACGAGGGCATGAGAGAGGCCCAAAAGTCTACATACCTGCTGGCCAAAGAGCCAAGGGATTTAAGCCCAATGGCCTAAAGGGACCACTCAAAGAGCAAGGGGAGGGTGTATGTGACCCAAGAAGGGTGGTATGAATGGGACCATAGTGACAGCAAGGGGAGTGAATGAGGCCTCTGTGAGAGGGAGGCTATCTGCATGTGGCCCATAATTAGGCAGTATAGAAGAGGCCCAATGATGGCCAAGTTTGGCCCAGTCTTGATCCAGAACCAATTAGAAGTTATGATGACATCTGTGAAGCATGAGTCGCAGTGTAGGAGAAGGTTTGGAGCTGTGGATATCATCCCTAGACATCAGGGTCTTAAATGGGCAGCCTCCGACCTAGTTAAGATCCTAATTTAATCACATGACAGAATAGATGGGCAGGCAGTGTGCCCATGGACAGGGGACAGCCAAGTAGCAAGATCGGGCCAGTGAGCTTGCCCCTGTCACACCTCCCTTAAAGAGAGATTGCAGGTTGATAACAGGGTAGCAGGGAACAACTTATGTAATGCTCAGAAAAAACAGAAACAGCAGTATGATAAGAATATGAAAGTGAGAGAGTTTAGGGTGCTAGTTCTTCCCACCTCCACAAGAGCTTTTAACCTGATGGCAGGTTCCATTTAAGATCATGATGCGGGTGGGTCCAGTTGATTATGAAGTACTCTATCCTGGTCAGGAGGAGAAGCAGGTTTTCCATATGCTTGTGACAACTTCTTACAGAAGGGCAGCAAAAGACAGCTTATGCAAATAGTGCAGGATTTTCCTGATGTGTTTAGTGAAGCCCCAGAAAGAGGCAGAGGGGTTATACACAAAATCAAAACCCCCAGAAGGAATGATTGTCCATGAAAAATGGATAAGAATACCTTATCGCCAATACTGTCCTATTGGGGAGGAACTAGAGAAAATGCTGGAACAAGGGATGATCATGGAGTAACAGAGCCCTTGGAGAAGCCCAGCTCTGACAGTCCTAAAGGCAGACAGAGCTCTGCATTTGTGTATTGATTTTCGGAAGCTGAATGCAATGACACAGTTTGATGCATTCCCCATGCCTCAAGTGGGGGAGATTTTAGAAAGTATAGGGCAGGCAAAATTGATTTAAACTTTTATCTACAGGGTACTGGTAAATCCCACTGCAAACAGAAGTTCAGGCCTAAACAGAGTTTGGGACACCTTAGGGATTGTATGAATTTAAAAGGATGGCATTTGGTCTTAATGGAGCCGCAGCCACCTTTCAGTGGTTGATAGATCATGCCATGTTAAAGTAGCTCCTTTAAGGGCAGAAACTGCCTAGAGAGAGGGCCCTAGCAGTCAGGCTTGCTGCCACAGTAACCTGCACCTGTGGGGTTTCTGCCTAAGGAGGAAATTAGCCTGCACCTGCAGCCAGCCAGCTGACCAGAAGAGGCAGGGCCCTGGGCTCATATAAACCCCAGGGCTGGGACTAGAGAGGCAGTTTCCTGCCAGCAGCCAAGGGGGAAGTAGCCTCCAGGGAGGAATTGCCCAAAGACGCTGCAGCTGCCAGAGATGCTGCACTTAGGGGATCCAGGAGGTCACCAGGTACCCTTGCCTATGAGGCAGTTAGTGTCAGGGAAGAAGTTTGACTCTTTTATAGGGACAGAGCACACCCTGAACTTGTTGTGCTATGTTATAGCCCAGGAGCTTATATTTTTGGTCGCTCTCTTATAATACTGGAGGATCAGGCTGAGGCTACTGGGAAAGGAGGAGGCCTCATTGGGGGGCCCACTACAGTGTGGGAACCCCAGCGCCATCACGGGTGCCGTATTCGGGGTGAACAGACCCCAGCGCCAGCATGGGTGCAGTATTCAGGGGTGAACAGACCCCAGCACCAGATTGGGTGCAGTATTCAGGGTGAGCAGACCCCAGTGCCGGGGTGCAGTGACAAAGGGGGTGAGTGGACCCCAGTGCTGGGGGGCACCAAGAGAAGGACAGGGCTGCAGACAGCCCAACGCCAAGGGGTGCTGAGAGAGTCCAGAGATGACCAGAGGCCAAGCTAAACTAAGGCCTTAGAGGGCCAACGTGTGAATGCCATCTGCGAGGCTTGGGGCGTGGTAAAGGGACGGTTTGGAACCATGCATCTAGCCCATAAGGCTGAGGGTGTCCCAAGAGGCATCCATTTTGGAGCGGGGCCCAAAAGAGGTTCAGTGGGGTCCATCAGGACCGTGCCCAAAATACAAACTTGAGGGCAGCCTCCCTATTTATTATAGTACAACAAGACATGGCAGGCGAGGAAGAGGGTGCCCATTGGGCAGGATTGGCACGGTCAAGGAGCCCTAGGGGTATCATGGCCATCCCTGGGGACCCTATCCCATGACAGGGAGGATATGTGGAAGGAGAGACCAGGGAGAAGGGAAAAAAAACCAGGAATCTTCCCTCCCTGTTGGTTACCTTGGAGAGAACAGAGAACGCTGATGGGGAATGGGGCTTCATGCAGTGGTTTAGGAGCCATTGCTCCCTCTGGATCGGAGATGGGCAGGCCCAAGGAAATACTTCCAGCTCTGGTGAGGGGCTGCCGGAGAGAGTCTGCAGCATCAGGGATAAGAGGATGCCACAGGACTCTCCTGCTGGTTTTGGTATGGATCCAGTGTCAGCTAAGGGACAGAGACTGCATGCACGGGTGATTGAAGGATCACCGGTCAAGACAAGGATTGAGAAACAGGATGCCAAGGTGGCTGACCTGACTCTGAGGGACCAACAACTTGGATCAAGAGTGAGGTCAGGAATAGGATGGGTGAATGGACAACAGGACAGGCGTGGGAAGTAGCCTGGAGGGGTTGTTCGCCACACTAAAGACTAAGTATTGATTCATAAAGGAGGCAGCCCAGAGGTTGTGCCTACATCCTAAGGACTGGAAATTGATTTTTAAAGAAAGTAGTCCAAAGGGGTGGGCCCCATGAAGTGACCCCTTTGACAGGCCAAAGGTGTTAGTGGGCAGAACTAGCTCCCCAATAGATGTAACACCAAAGTCACGGCACATGAGAGAGAAAAACAACCGAGAGAACCTGAGTGCTTGGGAAGAGGATGTCAGGCCAGAGGGGTCCCAGGTCCTACTGTACCTACACGCAACATTAAAGCATAGTGAAGACTTTGGCCTGAATATCTGGTCACTTACACTGGTGTAAATCAGGAGTAACTCCACTGAAACCAATGAAGTGACAGTGTCATCAAGAGAAGGCCTCTACCATGATCATTTCACTTCTCAGCAAAGAGATGCAGATTAGGCAGCTCACTTGGCTGCACCCTCACTCTTAACTTGGCTTTCAAAGAAAAATATGGCCAAACCACCCAAGAGAACCCCAGGAAGATCTTGCTGAATTACCACACCACTGCTTTTTAAAGACAGACTCTAGTTGCATATGAGGAAGGAAGACCTGAGGAAGAATGTCTCACACTCAAAATCTTGTCTAAATTCATCCCAACTACAGAGTTGTCCCAAATAAAGTTATCATTCTAAGAAATCCTTGCTACTCACAATTTCTGGACCATCATGGCCAAGGCCACAACACCACTCTCACACTACCCTAATTTAAGAATAACACACTTTTTGTTGAAAGTAAACATCTGCCTAAGTGGCTTAAGTTAAATCTGATATAAACTATGCAGCCTTCCAAGTATATTGAGTCACACTTTTAATTTCAAATCAATGATACTCTGCTGGTGAACTCCACCTAACTCAAATGAATGCAAATCGGTTACATGGTTTTATCACAAAAAAAATTTGTCTATGACTGTAGTAAGTGGCATTAGAAAATGAGAGAGAGATTCTGCTCTGAAGGCATAAGCAAGACTCAACATAAGAAAGACGTCAGGAAACCCATGACTGTTTGCATCGACCTAAGAATGTCCATCACGAATGTTTGGATAACTCATAATTAATTAGATATACTAAAGAAATAAAGCATGTTCTTGACAGGAAGGGGAAAAATGTACACCTCAAATATTTTCATACTAGAATTTATTAGGTTTTAAATAGGCTCACATTCTACCCAGACTCTATTCTGCTATGGAGTCAATGAGCAAATTGTAACAAATGAGATTTTTCTGGCTAAAATTTTCATCTGAATGATCTACCATGTTAGAGAAGTTGTAGGTATAACACTTCATTTTTCTCCATGCTACAGAGAGACTAGATATAGGTGGCAGATGATGAAATGTTTCACAAGCCTGCAGTCAAACTCATGCTAAAAAAAATAACCTCTCACATTAGGTTTATCTTCAGGGATTCCCAGGGATGAGTTGCCCTTTACATTGATTTATCTGACTTTTTTTGGACAATGCGTGGTCTGATATTCACTCCATACGAGTAGAATACAATGAGTGCAAAGCAATAGATGATGCTGGCGACAAGAGTGTCTGAAGTCAGTTTTCATATTCTGAGCATTTTGTTATGTTTGGTAATTCCTGATCTCCCCCCCCAATCCTCTGAAACAAAAAAATTGATTTGAATAGGGTTTTGTTCTTCAGAGTAGCCACTGGGTAATTCTTAACTCTGCACTGTGCTGGCCAGATGATTTTCATAATAGAGGAATCTGGGCACACTTGTAGAAGGGGAGCTCTGGGGAACACCCTAAATGAAAAGAAATCTTTCGACAGGCACCTTGAGGTCAAAGCTTTCTGCTTAGGAAGCTTTATAACCTCTATACTGGAAAAAAGACCAGTTTGTGTTTTGCTTCCAATAAAGACAGGGCCTTCTTGTCAAAGTTGGAGGTTATAGGAGAACTCCAAAACACTGAGAAAACAAAATAGGAAAAAAGTGTGAAATATGAATTATCACAGATGGTCCTTTTTAACCTCCACTGGCAAAATGAGGACTGGAGTCATCTGGTGAGATGGATAGCAGTGCAACTGGGTGTATATTATCCATAGTATTGGCCTAATATTTCAAGCTGATCTTCTGCTTACAGTTAATGTCAGCACATAGACAGGCTTATTCAACCTCTTGAAAACATCTTGTGGAGATAAAACACGTGTGTGTATATTGTAATCCCTGGAAAGTCAATGTCTTCCTTTGTAAAACGGTGACATTTATAGGGGAGTGATCATTTTCAGATGCTTTGTTTAATTCAGCGGATCAGTTAGCGAGACATTAACATAGGCCTTGTACTCAGCTTTATCACCGCGAAGACCCTTAGACAAAAAGTTGCTCACCCTCTGGACATACTGGCTATTTCCATGATTTTTCCTTCCCTAAAAGTATCCATGGAAATAGTGTCCATTCAAGGTCATCGTTGTAATTAAAAGCTCGTTGGGATGAAATGGCAATGCACCTAAAGAAATACCTTTCCTTTATGCCAGTGGTTTTCAACCTGTTGTCCATGGACCCTGGGGGGTCCACAGGCTGTGTCTATGGTGTCCCACAAAAGAGGACTATAAGCAAAAGTATGCATATACCCACACTTATCATTCAAGGTGGTCCACACTTTAATTCAAAATTTCCAAAGGGGTCCAGCACTGCTATTAGAAATTTAGTAGGAGTTTGCAAATGAGAAAAGGTTGAAAACCACTTCTCTGCACCTCAAGGCACGTGTAATTAAGCCTAGTGTTGCAGCTCTAGTATGCTCCTCATTTTACAGATAAGGAAACTGAAGCAAGAAGACGTGCTGTAAATTCATGTCAAGAAGTAGAGTTTGGACAGGAGTTAAAATAAAGAGGAGGGGCCAGTAATTAGATGTGTAGTCACCATGTAACATGGTGCTCAGACTCCTGCCTTTCTCCCCTCTACATTGCACTGAAAAATAATACATGGAAAGAACCACTCAATACTCAATGTATTGCAGAAGATATCTTCTGTGGTCATTCTAGGTAACCAGAGATTGCATGCAGATTCTTGAGATCTATCCAAGCTACTGACCTGCTGTAGCACCCTTGCCAAGAGATCCCTTAAGGAAGAAGGCAGAGGCCTATTGCTAGGGTTGCTGCTTCTTTATGCGTAAGTCATCTCATTGCAATGATTTTGTCAGGCAGGAGGTGTGAAGGCAGAGACTTTGTCCCTGTCATTTGTTCGTGGGAACCTGCTGCCAGCCTTGTTCACCTCCTCCCCACATGCAAGGTTTACTCCAGAATCACTCTAATGTGGCACCTTTAAGACAGGCGTCACTTTTCATCGCAGCTCTGGGCAAATTCAGCTCATCTGGACTGTGTCATAGAGGAAACGTTGCTGCTGTCAACATATTGCAGAGGAGAGACAGAGGGGGAAGGAAGAGGAAGAAACTGGAGAGCATGTGCAGACACTGTGGCCAGATTATCAACTGGTTTAAATGATGCAGATCTGGCGGCTTTACTGGAGCTTTGCTGGCTGAACACAAGAGCAGGTTTTCAAAAGGCCCAAATAACAACCTTTAGTCACTTAACTTCAGTTGATTTCCATCATCAATCCAGGCTTTTGCATCAAGCACTAAGACAGTGGGGGCTACCCTTTGTAAAAATAAGCCCCGCTGCATCCTTGAGTGCCATGCTCATCCCTTTCCATGCTTAATATTCTGCTCTGCTTTCTGCTTCCAGTCCTGCACCCCCTGCCCAATCTGCTATTTGCTTTCTGCTCTCCAGCCTATCGGCCACCATGTTCCCTTCTCTCTCCCTGATCTGCTGCATGCCACACAGACAGCCTGCCTGGACCACTTGCAACACCCATGCCAGAAGTTGTCCACCCTTGCCCTATTAGAAGGGCTGGATCCTTGTTGACTATTTGAGGAATGAACACTAGGAAGAAGAAACAAGAAGCCCCTTTTCCACCCTCTGTGCTTGCACTCAGACTGCAAGGGTCAGAAGCCATAGCAATACCTGCTGCACTAAGCATCACTTTATGGAAGGCAACTACTATTTCCCACTGTTTCCTTGTGGTCCCCCATTTTCCTACAACCATTTGTTATCTCTTGCCTTGCATCTAGCATGGACAGCCCTTTGGTGCAAAAACACTCCCTTGTTTGTTACTGCACAGCGCATGGACCTCCTGGTCCATGAGAGGGGCAATTAAGAGCTACAATAAAGGTAAGACAATAATGCTATGCAGTATGTATGACAAGTGAGAGCACTGTCCTTGGATAAAAGCTCTTCCTAGCACTACAGTTTGTGCTGGTGTGGAAATATCATTTAAAAAAATATTTAAAAAATAAAAAGACTACTTCTTTTCCCTAAAGCAGCCTAGCCCAAGACTGACCATAGAAGATGTCACAGCAAGTGATACTAGTTGCAGTGCATTGGTCTCTGGTCGGCCAATTGCCAATGCTTTGTCCATACTATGCTACTGGCAACCTCATTGCTCCAGCATCTATTGGGTGATGAACAAAACCAAATCTCCCTTGCTCATTAGGTCTTGCTATTTGTCCTGCCAGCTTTCCATTCTCTTATTTCCATTACAGCTAGACAGAGGAACAGTGAAAATGAAGCAAGCAGTAACTGAGCATGTGCCCGAGTCAGCTTACTGGAGCAAAGACGACATAGCTTCCACATATGGAGGCATACAACATGTAAGAAGAGAAATGTGGTTGACACAGAAATGTTTCTGGGCACTTTACCCAACACAGCATGAGTGTCTTCAGATGAATGAATTGGGATCCTGACACTACGCACAATTTTTCAAGCGGGTTTTACTGGCTCCTTCTTCCAGAGGAAATGTACAACGATAGACAAACCGGTAACAGAAACACATACATACACACACAGAAGTCCCATAAACCAACTGTTGATGTAAACCGTAATGGAAAACACACTTTGGTTTGTGGAATATTCTCTGGGGAATTGTGAGAAACTTTTCCTTCACTATTTTCAATTGTGGGTTTCAGATTGCCAACGGTGGTCCTGAGATCTTACGTGACCTTGAGTGGCAATTTCAGAAGACTCATTCTCTGATCTAAACAAATAGCACATGTTGCTGCAATAAAATATCAGCATCCAATTGCCATGCCTTCCAATTTGTCAAATGCTTTGTGTGTGAAAGGATACGGGACTTTGCAAGGCAGCCTGCTGCCTGGGGAGTTCTCAGCTAGGGGACAGCTTTTTGCTTTGTGTTTCTTTAATTCATGCTTCTTGGAGGACAGAAAATGTCAGTGACCCAACAACTACCGTACGTGAAAATGTAACACTCCACTGGGAACATGTACGGGGAAGTCCAACAGCCCAAGTTCAAAAATAAGGTTTCAAATGATACTTGGCAGCAAAACAAGTTTAACAACCCCCTTTCTAAGGGGTCCAATTTGTTGTCTTGGACTATAGGAGGTAAAAAGAGATACTGTCAGTTTAGAAATACTGACCCTGGGACTGAGCACCCACTGAAATTCAGCCTAATTTTGTCAGGCTAAAAATACGGCCATGCCCATGCCCGTACTAACACATTGGACTGGATGCAAGGAATGAAGATAACACAAGCTTGGTGCTTTACAGATTGCTAACTGGTTGGGAGCAGAAGCCACCTTCATTCAGACCATTTGTATCATGACCTCATTTTGCTCAGCTTACAATGTATTGGGCTCAAACACCTAACGAAGGTTTGGGGAAAAAAAGATGTACACCTTGCTGAAGAGCCAGCCAATCACAGATCACATCAAACTTCCAATAAAACCAGGTACTTGTGTGACCCCGTTATGGTGGTATCCAAAAGTCT